TCTAGTTGTTCCTCTAATTGTTTCCCAGTTCAATCCAAGTTACTTCCCCTTTTTCCCCCAGTTACTTCTTTCCTCCTTACTTTTCTAAAAAAAACCCAAAATAGATATATAGTTAGTATCTCTCTTTTCATCTTACCTTTACTATTCCTCTTCGATCTTTTCAATGGCTCAGTGTGCGGCTTTCGAAAGTGCTCGAAATGCGGGGCTAAAATGTCCCCAACGGACCCACACGAGCTCTGCCTCCTCTGCTTAGGAGAGGGGCATTGCATCAACAAGTGTGGGCATTGCCAGGCCTTCACCAAACAGGCCAGGAAGAACCGAGAGAATAGACTGAGGAAGATCCTCTGGGATCAGGCCCTACTAGCCTCTGATGAGCTCGCCGCTCAGCCTATGTCAGCCGGCCCTTCCATGGTGACCTCCCCCCAACCATCTGGGGGAGTTGCTTCCGAGGAGACCTCTTACTCCTCCCACTCCTTGCTCAAACAAAAGGAGAAGCGGAAGCATTCCGACCACGGGGATCTGTCAGTCTCGAAGGAGGCCAAAAAAGATAAGTCGGACAAGACCAGCAGAAAACATAGGCCTGCTTTGGAATCACGAAGGGATTCGGATTCGACCGCCCCATACACCACCCCATCAGAAATTCTTAGAGAAGAAGTATCCCAGTTACTTCAGAAGGGAGCGATCTGCAGAGTCCCCCATTCTGACGGACCTTGCAGTTTCTACTTGAGATATTTCACGATATCGAAGAGAGATGGTGGCTTACGCCCCATACTCGACTTGAGGGGCGTCAATGCTTTTATTACGACTAAGAAATTCCGTATGACTACCCTACAAAATATCCTCCCCCTGCTAGAGAGAGAAGATTGGTTCGCATCCATTGATTTGAAGGATGCCTGTTTCCATATTGGTATTCACCTGTTTTATAGGAGATTTCTCCCATTCACAGTTGGCTCTGACTTTTTTTTAATATAATGTTCTTCCCTTCGGACTTGCCACAGCCCCCAGGGTATTTACAAAGTGTATGGCTCCGATATGTGCTCACCTTCTTCAATGAGGTATTCAAATTTATCCGTATTTGGATGATTGGCTTATCGTCTCCCCCTCTTGGGACTGACTTAGTACAGATGTTGACATTACTTGCACCCTCCTGGAGGACTTGGGGCTCCTTATTAATACCGAAAAATCCTGTCTCACTCCTTCACGGGTCATCGAGTTCATAGGAGCGCAACTCAATTCGGTCTAAGCATGGGCATTTCTACCATGGACCCGTATGGACAGACTCTGTTTCGTGGCCCATCGGGTCCAGAGAGGCGACTGAGTCCGGGCCCTGCTTATCCAAAAATTGTTGGGCCATATGGCGTCCACAATTGTAGTTGTCCCAAATGCCAGACTACAAATGCAGCCACTCCAGTTGTGGTTCAATTCGGTGTTTCAGCCCATCCGCTACTCTCCAAGACAGCTTCAGTTCGGCAGACGCTGACTTGGTGGATGAATCCAGACAATCTCACCGTCGGCGTTCCATTTCACCAGCAACAACCCTCCATCTCGCTCCATACCGACACATCTCTCATGGGTTGGGGAGCACACTGTTCCAACCTACGAACACAGGGCACCTGGCAAGCACACGAGAGGTCCAACCACATCAATTTTCTCGAATTGCTGGCAGTTTTCAAGGCACTCCGATCGTTCGAACCCACGTTACGGAACCGATCAGTACAGGTAGCTTCCGACAACACAGTTACAGTTTTTTACCTGAATAAACAGGGCGGTACAAAATCGGTACTGCTGGCTCAGCTATCCATTCAGATTTGGGACTGGTGTATCCCCAGAGGGATTTCGCTCACGGCAATCCATCTGGCAGGAATACACAACCAAGAAGCAGACACCCTGAGCAGAAAGATGTCATCAACCCACGAGTGGGAACTGGACAACCAAGTTTGCAGAGACTTGTTCACCTGGTGGGGCACTCCGACACTAGATCTTTTTGCAACAGCTTCAATTCGAAATGCATGACCTACTGCTCCAGGGCAGGAATGGGTCTGAACTCACAAGGGGATGCCTTGATGGTGAGTTGGTCGGATTCATTCCTGTATTCCTTTCCACCGATTCCATTGATCACCCGTACCCTGGAGAAGGCGGGTCGGGACTGAGCACGGGTCATCCTCATTACACCATGGTGGCCCCGTCAACCCTGGTTCTCGACCGCTCTCAGGCTATCTAGACACACCTTCTTCCGTCTGCCATGAATCCCTCACCTGATCACACAGGGGAGAGGGACGATTCTTCACCCTGACCTCAGCACTCTCAAGCTCACTGCGTGGCTCCTGCACTAACTGCCTCTGCCAACCCTCACATACTTCGGCGAAATACCTCGGTTTCGATGCCAGAGTGTACCGAAGGACCTCACCCGACTCTCCTCTGAACCTACAGGAAATCGAGTTCATCTTGCAGTCTGCCCTTCGACCGTCCACTCGTTGATCGTATGAGGTGAAGTGGAAGCATTTCACTATGTTTGCGGAAGCTAACCGTTTTACTCCAGAATCGGCTTCCATCGATAACATCCTTTCCTTTTTGCTTTTTCTGCATCAGTCTGGACTCAAACCCACCTCTGTCTACACTGCAGCTATATCACATTTCTGTGGCCCTCTCTCGGGTTTGTCCGTGTTTTCCCACGCACTCATCCGACGCTTCCTTAAGGGACTGCAAAATCTCCATCCTCCGATCCGTCCATCAATACTGACTTGGAGTCTATCTGTAGTTCTACATGCACTTACCAAAGCTCCTTTCGAACCCCTCGCAACAAGGGTTTGAGATTGCTATCTTGGAAAGTAGCCTTCTTGGTTGCCATAACCTCAGCGAGGATGGCAAGTGAACTTTCCGCACTCCACGTGGACCCACCATACCTGAACTTGCACAAGGAAAAGGTAGTTCTGTGTACAGATCTGGTGTTTCTCCCCAAGGTGGCCACAGCATTTCACGTTAACCAGGACATTGTGCTTCCAGCATTTTTCCCGTCCCCTCCCACTCCGATAGAGAAATCTCTTCATTCCCTTGATGTGCACCAGTGCCTAGCTTTCTATCGGTCACACACAGAGTTTCAGGAAAACTAAACGCTTATTCGTCAAATAATCTGAACCTGATAAGGGCGCACCTCTCTCTGCCCAGAGACTATTGAAATGGATAGTACAAACCATTGAACTGGCTTACCAACTGGCCAAGATAGATTTTCCTGTTGCTCCCAGGGGTCACTCCACCAGGGCCTTAGCAGCCTCCTCAGCCTTCTCATTGGGCATCCCACTGCTGGACATTTGTAAAGCTGCTTACCTGGACAACTCCCTGTACCTTTACCAGACACTACAGATTGGATGTTCGGGCCAGGCAGGATTGCTCCTTTGGATGGGCCGTTCTTTCATCCATCCTTCACTGACGACACCGACCCACCTCCAATGAGTGAAGCTTACTAATCACCCATTATCTGTGATGCACAGAGACCACGATGAAGAAAGTCAGGTTACTTACCTGTAACTGTCGTTCTTTGAGTGGTCATCTGTGCAGTCACACAAAATGGGTACTGCGCCTGTGCAGTGCCTGTTGCCGGCCAGAATACCCAAGCTGCAAAGGTTTTTGGCGGGAACTCCGCACCCTTCCATGCTGGTGCTATATAAGGCAGAGTGCCCGCCATTTTCCTCAGTCTCTGGAGACTGGCAGATCACGCCCTAGTGGAGCGTGCCAGCTAGTAGAGGAGACGACAGAAAGAGACTACCATCCCGTCCCTCGACACCGAGTGGGGCCGGAGGGCGGGTTGTTTTAAGAGATAGTTTTGAACATTCTGTTTCACTCTAGCATGACCAAGAAACACTATCTACAGGCCCTTTCTCATGTCCTATGTAACATAGGGGCACAGCTTTTGGTAAAGGGAGTTAGGACCTTTCCATGGCTGCACCAATATTAGTGCAAATCTCTGCCCATGGGTGGCTCCCCTCTCACTGACTTTCACTATTTTTGGTGAAAGTATTTCTGTTATGGCAGACTTTGCCCTTCTAAATCTCTGAAGCATTATGTACAATTGTTTTTGGTCTGTGGTCTTGGCTTCTATTGTATGCTAGTCTATATTAATGGAATTCAAAGCTGGTGTATAGTACTGTGTTGCAAGATACTCTGAGTGGCCTTTGGAAGGTGGGGTAGAAAATTCTGTGTAAGAAATGCATCAAATAAAATCCTGGGCACAAGTAAGAGGGATCTGCCTTTCCCCTTTTTTGAGACATCGGAATCATCAACAGTAAGGAGCAGATATAGCTTCCAATTCAGGGATGCCTCCTTTTTTCTGTATAAGCAAATGGTTGCAGTTTGCTGCTGTGGTCAAGCGTAATGAATTTTGCTTGTGATGTTGCAGTGAGGGCAAAACTGGAGACCTCCTGGATGACGTGGCATTGCCACTTTTGAAAAAAGTGTGTGTGTGTGTGTGTGTGTGTGTGTGTGTACACACTGTGTGCTCTTTTGTTCAGAGATGTAGTATACTCCCAGTGTTTTGCAGTATAATAACCCTCACTCAGCAGGCAGGGTGGCCATGTGAAAATTTCTAGAAATGATCAAATGTAGCAGCTAAAAAAAGAACAAAAGAGTACATCATTTGTACAAGACGTATATGTACAAATTTATATGTAAAGTTATTTATGTGCTTCAAAGTTATCCAGTTTATCATCTTACATGATCATGAGTAAATTTGCTATTTATTGATGTATGCCATCCTGGCCTGTTGAAATGATCTTCCAAGGCTTTACAGGGATTTCAGTGGTAAAGAGCATCATGTTTTAATAGTAACTTTGTCCATCTCTACAGCACTTCTTTTTCTGTATTTAGAAAACAGTTTGTTTTATTGATTTGCATTTTGCAGAAGCTGAATATGGAATTATATTTGTATATCAAAACAGCATCATATAACTTTAGTTTGGCTGCGGTTTTGTAATTAGGAAATTTCATTTTCTGTATTTCTGTTTTAGGTGATGGAGTACGAGAACAGGATCCGAGCTTATTCCACTCCAGATAAAATCTTTCGATATTTTGCCACATTGAAAGTAATAAATGAGCATGGAGAATCAGAAGTGTTTATGACCCCACAAGATTTTGTGCGATCTATAACACCAAATGAAAAGCAACCGGAAAGTAAGTGACCTTGTGTACAAAGATAGTGAGCGTATGTGATTGTACAGAAAGGAAATCTAAAAGTTTAATCGATTTACTCAAGTTCTTAACCTGTACAAACTCAGGCAAGTCTCCATCTTTCAACCTCAGCCTCCCCCTCCCCAGTCTGCAGTGACCTATAATATGGGTTTGGTGTAAAGGTAGCGTATGAAGCACTGCAAAAGAGCTATCTGGATGCTCATTTATTGCTGCCTGGATCATACCACCATTCTAGTGAGAATAATTTGGGTCAGTGACTTTAATTTGTTCTGTCCTAAAGCATGAAGGCAGCAAGCTTGACAGATTTCCCAACTTTTTCCTGATGGTGAGGTAGGTTGCTGCTCAACAATCCCACCCCCACCGCTTTTTAAGTTTAATTGCTCTTCTGTGCATCTACCTCCAGCTCTTCAATACCAGCACCTAGAGGTAGTGAGTCTCTTCAGCTTCCTCCCTGAAATAAGCCTGAAGTTGCTGTCCAAAAGGCAGCCCAGATATCTGCAGATTAGATGCAATAATTAAAGGCCTTGATGAGGCAGCCTCATTGCAAGGGATATTGGTAAAGTTTGCACTTGTGCAACCCATGCTGGAATATTACATGCTGGAACCTGTAATATTGTGAGACCACATCAGAGAACTGCAGCAGTGTTGAATAGATGTATGTTCTGGTTGGGGTAGATAAAAATTAATGATTGTTAAATATCTTTTAAAATTTAAATCATATTTTTAAATTTAAATCAGATTTCTTTATTTAAATCATTTTATTTACATTGGATTTTTAAAATAAAATGCTTTTTGAGGAATAATCTATCTAAAGATAATTTCCTATTTAAGATGCATTATAGTCCAAAGGTATATAATGCATACTTCATACTTAAATGAAATAAGTATTTGTTTTTATTTATTTATTTATTTATTTATTTATTTATTTATTTATTTAAAACATTTCTATGCTGCGCCCATCGCAACAAAGCCTCGGGGCGGCTCACAAAGAAAACATAAATACATAAATAATAACAATACAACAAAAAAAATTTAAAAAATTGTTTAAAAACCCCTGGTGCATTCTCGGCTAAAAATTTAAAATCCTATTAATTAAATAATTTAACAATTAAAATAAGTTTTAAATAAAAAGGTCTTACGCTGACGCCAAAAAACAAATAACGACGGCGCCAGGCGGACCTCTCTGGGGAGGTAGCATGAGGCTTTATATTCATAGAATGTTTAAACTTTTTGGTAAATGAATCCTGTTAATCCAGTCACAATGTCATGCTCTTCCAGAGGTTTCTGTAAGATTATTGGGCAATTTTTCTATCTAGAAGATATCAGAGATGCCTTGTTTTACAGTTCTCAAAACTGTGAATTTCTCTCTGCAGTGATCATATGCCTCTTCTTCATAGCAAAAGTGTTGTAAAAGAAACATACAGAGTTGAGAAAAAGTCCTTACCCCATTGTTCCTTTGCAAATCTACTTACACAAAATCAACCCCTCATCATTTAAGTGCTAAGTTTCAAAAAATTCGGGGAAAACAAGAAGATTGTTGGGAGTGGAATAGATCTGCACAAGAAGCTAAGTGTGAGGAGGGAGGGGCAGGCAGTAAAAATTAAAGTGAAACCTCTTGAGCAGAATACTCAAGTCATTTTGTGTATAGCCTGAAAGTTACTGTTAAGGTGAAGTACTTATCATACTTCATGTGAAGTATTTATCATTCTATTTGTACTATTCTCATACTATTCTTTCCCTGGAAAAGATAATCTGTAATGGCAGCCGACTATAAAAGGGACCCAGTTTGGGAACATTTTAATGAAGTTCCTCTACCTGTGGGTAAGGCAGACATGCGTGTACATTATGTAGAAAATGATTAATTAAATCTAGTCTTCCTGACTATTGGTTTAAATCAAATCCACCCTGGTTCTGGTACTGAGTATTGTTTCTGGACTATGCCATTGATTTGTTCATATAGTTAAGCATCAATTAGTATAGTTACACTGACAGGCTATATTGAGAGAATAATAGGTAATAGCACAGGTAATAAAAGTAGCAGGATGCTTATGAAAAGTAATTAAGAACAGTGAGATGCTCTTTTTTATATTAAATGGTGAGTGTTAGTGACTTAATTTTGCTGTCTGATGGATTTTGGATGACACTTGTGGAAAGATAATTTCCAAACTGTTCTTCTGAAATCTGTCCATCTCCTTTTGATCTCTTCTTTGGTATTTATAACTGAGAAGTCAGAAAATTCAAATATTCAGCAATAGTTTTTTTAATGAAGAAAGTTCAGTCTGCTAGCACTGCATTTTGATTGAGCTTATTATTATATCACAGTTATATCTCACCGTTCTTCCTCTTGCAAGGAAGCCAAGGTGGCTTACTAATAAGGATGTTGAGGATCCAGCTGGAATCTGCTCTCTTGCACTTGCCAGATTTCTTTTCTGTGCTCAGCCCTGGCCAGGAAGTGAGCCTAGTTAAGATCAAGTCATGATCATTCAGGAACATTAGTGGTGCTCTTCTTTGTGCAAAATATTCAGAGTTTGTGTAAAGTATGGAAAGCTTGCAAGACATATATGCAGAAGCAGACCTCTGTTTGCCCAGTGAGTATGTGGCAATTTGTGTGTGAAGCAGCTTTGCAGACTCACATGGATTCTCTTCCTGCTGGATTGCCCATGCAAGCATTTGGCATGAAGTGGACTTAGGACAGAGAGAAAGTGGGCTGGAGTGTGGGAAGCCAAGCCAAGGAGGATTCTCAACTCCCAACTGGATTCCTCGTACATTGCTACTTACAAGGTTCTCCTCTTTTCCTTTTATTCTTATAGCAACAGCCTCATGAGGTAGGTTAGCTACAGAATCCATGACTGGCCCAGAGACATGGCAATAGCAATTAGCATTAGGCATAATACAGGGCAGCATCCAACGTTGCCCACACAATAGTAGAACCCACTGCCAATGCAATGGGAAGCTAGCAGATCCTGCAGCGAAAAGAAATGAGTAAAAAGTTTATTTCAGAGAAATAATGGAAAGGGAAGCAGAAGGCAGCTTCAGTGATGTGTGATATTCTGGAAATGAGCATTTCTGCATCTTTGTGGGGTTATGGTAAGAAGCACTAGGGCCTGTTGTAGAAATGATGGGTTCAGTGAGTGCAAGAGAGTCACCCAGAGCATGGTGGGAGCACTGGATGCTGTGCTTTGTTTGCACAAATTCACAGTCAAGCCAAAGTTAAGCACTTTAAAATCTCACTGCTTTAGGTAAGAGATTTAAGTAGGTTCTTACCTCTCCCATTAACTTTAAATGATCTTTAAAGTCTTTGTTTATCTCCGAGCAGACAGAATAATAAAAATGCAATGTGCATTCAAGTGATAGTTCCTTAATATAAAATGCACAAATGCAGTATGTTGTTTGACAATCTTCAGCTTTCTTCCCTGCCTATGCAATGTTGTGCTGTGGTGCTGGTGCTGGTGATTCTAGATGTAGAACTTATTTTTCAACGTAAAAAAACAGACAGAAGAATTTTTACTGCCTTGGCTTACGAGAGGCTAAAAGGTATTCTGCACTGATTAATAACTCCATTTTCTGCACCATGACCATTATGAACTTCTGAATAAATGGGAAGCATTTAATCATGTTTAGCTGTAAACAGGTGACGATGATATATTCTCTGCCTTGCTGATCAAGGCTGTTAAGCTACACGTACGCATTGCTCTGATCTTGCCAATCTAATAAGGTGATACATTGATCATTTAAAATCCCATCCAATAACTTTTTATATAAGCTATTTTTAATAATACAGATAAATACCGATAGGATGAGTATGCATAATACTGAGAAAACAGGATTTGGAACTCATCTGCTGTTAAAGTGATTGTTCCAGAAATTTTGTCTACTGCAAATTTTATTCAGTTATTATTGAAAGATCCTGCTTTTGCATTTCGGCTTGTTGCATGAATTAGCAACATTAGCAAAATAAATTTCTTGATTGCCCTTTCCATCCACTGTTTTGGAGGTGGAATACCTCTGAATTCTCAGTGTTTGGCTAAAACAAACTGTGACTGTTAATAAACTTCATTCATTTTATTTATTCATCTATTCATTCTTTTTTGCAATTTGGTTAGTCCTCCAAAGTTTAGAAGATCAGGAATAAGCTGTAGACTTTTATTCCTTCCTTCCCATTACATATTGATTCCCTTCCTATTTCCCACTCAGTATCTTAAATCAGCAAACTCTATGATTTCTATTTCTGGCTGAACTGGGCAAATGCCAACCATAATGTGCATGTTTGGATTATAAACAGGAAACAGAGAGGGGAGAACAGAGTGTGGTAGTGCAAGACTAATTCACAATCTTCCAAATAATGGTTTTAGAGCAAGACTAGACAACCTGGTGTCCTCCAGATGGTTTAGAGAACCATTTCCATAATCCTTAACTATTGGTCATACTGACTGGATAGGACTTACAATAACTCCAGAACATATAGGAGTTGTTACCAACAACATCTGAAGCTCATTATCTGAAGATTGGTCTATCACTTCAACCTTCACCATATCTTTTAAGAACATAGATACAATAAATGGAATTCATGCAGAATTACTGTTAATATTTTAATATCAACATCCATCAAGAAATAGATTGATAATTAGCATAGAAGGTATGTGCTCCATTTGATTTAGGAATTACTTTAAGCATCACTGATAAAAGAGAATCTGATTCAAAAATAGAGTTATGTAAACAATAAAGTTTGGGAACTAGAACACTGGAAAAAGTTTTATATCTATCAATAGAAAATCTGTCCAGACTAAATACTTTCCTTCTTTTCATGTCACTTGTTGCTTTTATAATTTCATCAATCAACAAAGGCAACATTAAAAACTGCCTTTGTAGAATATCTAGACAGAAAATATTAACCTGAAGGGGAAAATTCATTGATACCCTGCTTTGATATTTTGTAGCCACTGCTATGCAATTCTGAGCAAAATTTGAAAAAAATTGAACATTTTATCTTGAAAATGAATAAGTGTCTTTTTTCACGCTCAGTGCTCAGCAATGCCACATGACTGCTGCATGGCGTGGTATCTCACCTTGCGTCTTGGGTTCATACATTCATGTGGCTTCTATGCATGGATGGTTTCCATGCTTCTCCATCTTCACTCCAAATGGTTGCATGTATCCCATAAGCCCCTGCACCTTGGTATAAATCCCAGTGTGCATTGCTCCTGCCTATGCCACCTGCTTCTCTCTCACTGACCCACATGTTCCCCTGGATGTGGCCTCAGCCCAGCCGCCTTTCTAGTTTTTTATTTTTTTATTTTTGCCACTCTGTGAAGCAGCTGGCTACTCACTAGAGTGGGACTGTTGCTCTAGAGGAGCAGTGCAGGCTCGCTTCTGCAGGTACGCTGCTACAACCGTGCTCTATGCCAGTGTGCAAGCACTCCCGTACTTCTACCTATCCACATCCTTCCACATGTGTGTCCCCACGCATTCCTGAGTGCAGGATTCACATATGCTGTCAGGGGTTGTATCCTCCGGCATCCAGGCACACGGAGAGCATCATTTTTGTGTTCTTCTCCAGCTTATTGCATCCGAAACGATGTACTCAATTATGCTACATAGAAAGATTTGGGGTTGTGAACAATAAAAGCTAAATACTTTGTTTCGTTAGTCCCTTTTTTGCTCTAGTTCATGGTGGCAAATGGCAAGCCGTTGTGAAATCTTCTGTGCCATTATTTACAGCAACCTTCCCCTGCCTGGTATTCTTCAGATGTTTTGGACTACAGTTCCCTCTCAGTCCCAGTCAATGTGGAAAGTAGGAAAACAGGCAGTTGTATTCTGAAATAACTGGAAAACCAACCTACTATTGTGTCTGTTTCTCCTGCTACTGCTTACTGTTGTTCCTTCCCCTTCACATCTTGCAGTCTTCCTCTCTAGCTGTTTATTCTGGAGTCTGCAGTACAGCGATTGCTTTCAACTTGAATAAATGCATGCTACTTGAAGACTGCTGGGAATGAAAGATTCTGGGACCTATTGTGGCACTTACTGCTTAGTGTAGGGGTGGGCAATGTCATCTCTTCCAGATGGCTGGCTTCAGGTATTATGGCTAAGGAAGGACATAATAATACTATATAAAGTGATGTGGAGGGATAGAGAGAGAACTGTTACATGAAGCTACTGGTGAATGGTGATTTTGGATCTTAATATATATTGTGACATTTTAATTTTCTTAATAGATATAGGAGGTTTTATTACCCAGACCTGTAAAATGATCAACAGCTATAAAACAAAGATACTGCTGTTTTCTCGTAGCATCTCTTGAACTTTCTCTGTGTGCTTGGTTAGAGCTTTTCAATAAAGTATTTATAAAACTTGTATGCTGTGTCAATAATGCTGAAGTAATACCACAGAAATGTATTTTTCCTTGTGCTCGCTCTCTCTCTCATACACACATTCTCTCTCCCTTTCTTTCTTTCTTTCTTTCAGATTTAGGCCTTGATCAGTTTGTGGTGAAGCGCTACGATGGGAAGGTGAGATTCCTAAACCTGTGTATGCATGTTAAGTGTTACTTTAACTACTAAATGAATATTGCTTCTCCCCTCTCCTGGTAAAATGGTATGGTACTAAGCAAGTACTAAGGGCTAGTTTTGAAGGATACGTAGCAGGTTCTTTTTCATGGTTCTCAATCGTGAACACAACAAAATGTAAGATTTTATACTGCCTGGCTTTCATAGCGCTGAGACTGTAGAAACAACAGTGCTCTTTCTTGCACTCTCCAAACCTCTTATATAAAACATTTTTTCCCTACATAGCTGCAGTTTCTAAACATATAATTGCATATAATTTCCCATTCAGGATAATGAGTGTTCTCCTTCACAGATTCCATGACAGAGAATGCAGTGTGTGCAATGGCCTTTATTTCTCTCAAAATTTGAAATGGGATGATGTCCTCCCATTTTTTCCTCTTAACTGTTCTCTCACTGAGTATTGCTAACTTAATTCACACTGAGCCTTCTTTTCATATATCTTGTTCAAGCTGGTGTCACAAAGCTGAGGCTACATGTAAAAAAAAGATACAGAATTCCAAGTTGATTTTGTCTCCTTTTCTAGTTCTGCTCTTTGAGTAACACCTTGAGGCAAAAGCAAATTTGCTTACTGCCTCATTTTCCTGCTTTGTCTTAATACTGGCTGACCTGTCATTTTAATGAACTGCAGTATTGCTGATGTATTCTGAAGACCTGACTTCTACAATACAGCTTCAGTTGCTCTCTCTCATTCCTTCCTCTAAGCACACTCCCCTCCGCTCCTTCTGAAGGTAAAATGCCATTTGCACTAGTCTGCCTGATGGGGACACTGATTCTCATGTCTAGCCAAATCGTGCATCAGGGTGATGTGGGCTCAGAACCACTTGTCTTTTCCTCTCCATCTCCTCTTCTCTTTGCACAGGTGGGATGGTGTTACCATCTGCCTCTTTTTCAGTCCAGCTGGAAGGGCTCTTTTAACTTGGTGATGGCAACAGTGGCTTGGCCCAAGCTGCACTCAGCTTAAGCTGCTGCCAGCTGCATCCCTGACCAGAGGGATGCGGGTAGGGCTGGCAAACTGGGCGTGAATCCTAACTGAATGGCCACAGACATTAGTCTGCATAGCTTTGTTCTTTCCCAGTCATTCTACGAGTAACAGTGATCAAGAGACACAACCTTCTGATGTTCATGGGTAATGTTTGAATGCTAAAGTTGAATGCAGTTGAATAGACAATATTGTCTTCCCACTATTTATGGTACCACTGAAAGGAATTAGCCTTGAAGGCACATAGTGTTTAATTCACATCAGCGTATTTGCCTGCATCTGTATGATGAATTGTCTTTGACCGGTTATCTGAAATGTCAAACCAGGTTATAGCCGTGCTTTATTTTATACGTATTTACATAGCGCAGCCTATCCTATTATCACATGAGAAAATCTGTAAGTCTAAGAGAGGTAGTGTGGTACAGTGGTCAAGAGTGCAGGATTGGGACTCAGGCAATCTGGGTTTTTGTCTCCACTTAGTAATGGAGCCAACTGGATGACTTTGGGCCAGTTGCAGACTCTCAGCCCAACCTACCTCATAGGGTTCTTGTTGTGGAGATAAGATTGAGAACAGGAGGAAGAGAATTATGTAAGCCAGATTGAGCTCATTGGAAAAAAGTGGGGCATATAAATCTAATAAATAAATAATCCAAATAAATTGAATTCGTACTGTTGAGTCATTTCAGATATTTTCAATGATCTTTCTGTGACAACTATGTTCTGTAGAGAGGTTCTATATATTTAACCTTCTGTTCTGCTGTTGAATAATAGAAAATTCAAACTGTCAAGGGCTCACTCTATGAAGGATTTTGTTGCATTGATAAAACAATATGTTTTTCATAAAATAACGTACAGTGAGTGCCAACCTTTTCCCAATCAAATTATTTTTATGGTTTCCTTTCTTGTTTGTTTTAGTAAATTCTAGTTTATTATGGTATGCTGCATCTTGTAGAGTATGATAACTAAAATATATGTGCTGCAGTAGTTGTGAATGATCACTTATATGTGTAAATCTGTTTTACTTTTAAAATGTTCTTGCATTTTAACATTTGGGTCAGCCAATTACGTTGTACTATTTACCTGCAGACCTTTTGTTATGCTTTGGCTATGATGCAGGTGCTACCTAACATAAAAGACTTATCTCTTTAAATATAATGCTGTTATATTACTGTATGGGGATATGACAGCTTTGACCGAGGGCCATGCTGACTGGGGTTGACTGGAGCTGTAGTCTAACAAATCTGTAGGACAGCGGTTCCCAAACATGTTTGGTCATGGAACCTTTCTGAAGACATTGTTTTCCATGCAACCCTAACTCTATCCTTGATTTTTACTAAGAATTGTGAACCCACAAGGTTCTTCCTTCTTTCATCTGTTCCTATTGCCTGAGTGCTTTGCATAATGTAGTAGGTTTGGAAATAAAGAGAAAACATTTTAAATATAATGAATGAATAAAGTGATTATATGGTAATATCCCAAATGAATTCTTTTGATTATTCTCAACATCACACAATAGAGTCCTAGGAAGTGACCAGTGTGATGCATGTCCTTGTTTGCTGCTTGGATGCCAACTAACAGTTGAATAGTTGGCCTTGTGTGGTTTCATTTTAAAAACAGTAATAAATGTGATTTTTGAGATTTTTGGTGGAACCCCTATAAGGCTTTTGCAGAACCCTAGGGTTCCACGGAACACATTTTGGGAACCGCTGCTGTAGGGCATCAGGATGGGATATGAGGATACTGTTGTAGGGGCACATTGCTCCCATCTTACAAAGATTGCTTTATATCTGTCAAAAATTGCTTTATATCTGCTTTCTACCAGTTCACTGCTCTTGTCAAAATTTTGTGGCATATTGGTTTTGTTGGTGGAAACTGGAAGTAATTTACTCACCTTGCTCTCTTCCTTTCTTTGATAACTAACTACTAATTTCATTTCTTTACATTTCAGCAGGTAATTCCTAAATGGCACTGATCTTTCTCTGTCTCCCTTTATTTCTTGGTGCTAAGGTGTGCAATGCTTTTTCTTTCCTGAAAGATTGATTTTTTCCCTTCCTCTGTAGTTCCTCCTGTTATGATGTACAATTTATTTATTTTTATTTTTGTAACCAACCCTTTGCTCATTTTGTTTCTTTTTTTCCTAACCTTTCCCCCTCTCATCAGGATTTTTGGCAGGTACTGAATTGTCAGCATGTGCTTCAAACAATTTGTGCTTCAGATCCCATGTGCACCTCCTTTTAAAAGGGGCAGTATATATTTGTCCTTCTTCCCCATTACCTATAAAGAATTTTGATTTTCTTCATTTGGAGTATCAAATGGCTCTATCTCAAAATATGGAAATGGAGACCCTTTCAATCAAAATAGTATTAGCAGTCTTCAGTGTTAAGCTTTTTCACAAATAATGACTTCGTTTTTGGTGAAACAACTACTTTTCTTTTCTTCCAATTTTTGTGATCACTTTACTAAGCAATAATGGTTGATTTCGACCTTGGTGTAATGAAATGAAACAGTGACTTTATGTAGTAGATGGAGTAAAATGTTGTGCTTTAATACTATTTAATATTTTGTGTTCTAGAAGAATGGAAGAATAGGTCTAGGACAATATTCACATTCAAATTCCATTTTTTTAATCTAAACTATTTTTTTGCATGTCTGGATTCTAGTGTAGGTGAGGCCTACATTATTAAGATCAATCCATTTTTGTCATCTTATCTGCCATTAAATTGTATAGAGGAATGAGTGCTGAAAGGATACATTCAACAGAATTAATGAGTGATACAGGATTTATTTGGCTTTGTGTGCATATTGCAAGACTATTTATTGAATCTTGCACATGTCTGCTTAGAAGACACACCCTTTGAGATCAATGGAACTTACTTCCAGGCATCATTAATACTCTACATATATCTCACCGTTTTTCCTCTTGCAAGGAACTCAATGGAGCTGTCTCTGGACATTTAAACCCCCATTCAGGATAAATTCTTCCAGGAAGAATTGGTTCTCAGGGTGTTTTTAGCATGTTGATGATGCCTTCCAAGAGCAGGTGCTTTTAGACATGGCATTAAATGTGTCATTGCATTTCTAAAATGTTGAATGCTGAATTCAGAGAGCATCCTCTAAGGAGGAAGTGATACGCTGTAGCAGTTGAGGGAGGAGTTGACCCTCTTTCTCCTGCTATGGTCCTAGCAAAATCCTCCACCCACTCAAAGAAAGCTGGTACTGAATGGTGCTAACAGAGGCATTTCTCCCAATGTAAATAACTGTTGCACAGGAGGTAGTTTCTTCAGGAAAGGTGCAAGGGAGGAAAGAGTTAAACATCCTGGCTTGCCTGCCTGGTTCTGATAATTCTCATGCTCCATCCCTTGATGATTTTTGCATTTTCAAAAATACATGCTGATGCAAAAATGCTCCTAGCGCATAAATAGGTTAATACCTGTTTTCTCCTTTTATTTTATCCCAGTTATACATTACAATATTTCTGTGTTGTGGTAACCCGTGGATGAGGTCAGTTGTGGAAGGGTCTTTCCCACCCATCCAGAAGACTTGAGTGCGAAAGATCCTTGCAGTGGACTCTGCTGACGGGCTTCCAAATGTAACTGGAAATATCAACAGTGAGAGAACCCTGGACTCAAGACTCTGTAAACAGAGCTGTGGAAGGTTTCCTGCAGATAAATATGGACGTGATATTTGCATTGATCTATGTTCAGACATACAATATTTCAAGTCATGCTTATCTTTGCCAAGACCATAAGTTCTATAGAATTAATCAGGCATAGGAGGAGGTTTTCTGAAACCTGAAGGGTGATGAGGTTGTGCTTAACCTGAAAGCTTAAGTGTATAAATTAAGAGTGATCTGGTGAGATAAATTGATTTACCTATATGGTATATCTTATTTCAGAAAAGAGTTCAAGGACAGTCCTCCTGAGATAAACAGGAGAGCACTAAAGTCCATCTGGCTGAAGAGTTA